TTACTAGAAATAGGTTACGCTGGTATATAAAAGATGGGAAATGTTTTTTTTGAGTAGATAGCGAGTAATTGATCTGCGGTCGGAGTATTATTGACGTTCGTTGAGTGTATCGGTTAAGTTATATTCGGAAAGAATAAACCAGTTTTATTAAGTAAAGACTTGTGTCGCTTAAAATTTCGTCGGAACGAAGTTACGGAAAGTTAATTAACAAACGGAGACGTAACAATACTTAATATAAACACTCATGAGTGACTTTTATATAATACTTAATATATGAGTGACTTTTATATAATATTTAATATAAATACTCATGAGTGACTTTTATATAATACTTAATATATGAGTGACTTTTATATAATATTTAATATAAATACTCATGAGTGACTTTTATAAAATACTTAATATAAATACTCATGAGTGACTTTTATATAATACTTAATATAAATACTCATGAGTGACTTTTATATAATACTTAATATAAATACTCATGAGTGACTTTTATATAATACTTAATATAAATACTCATGAGTGATTCTTATATAATACTTAATATAAATACTCATGCGTGACTCTTATAAAATACTTAATATAAATACTCATGAGTGACTTTTATAAAATACTTAATGTAAATACTCATGAGTGACTCTTATAAAATACTGGATTAATTGTATGTATGTCATTAGCCGTTGTTTAATTTTTGGCACAAAGCTTCACAATGAATTATCTGCACTTTGTCAAACACGAAGGATCAAACCCCAGATTTTAGCATTGCAAGTCAGTGCTGACACATTATGTGACGCAGTTAGTAACTTCTATCAAACCATTAAATAATGTGTCAGCATACAAGTACGAGTATGTACAGGATGTTTGTAATAATACAATTTTTGTAAGAAAGTAAAAAGGCGAAGAAATAATATGCGGGGGGTGGGGAGATCTAAAAACCCTGACACGGTCGAAAGCCTCGCAATCTTTAGACCCGGGATCCTTGGCATGGGCAAAAGCCTAAACCAATCAGTTTGTTTTTCTCTCTCTGCACTTTGGTGATTAGTGTCTAGCCAAAGTACAACCGCTTTTGAACTAACGTCCAAGAAGTCAAGGAAAGCCTTTCCATCAGTTGAGTATAGGTCTTTTCAGATTACCTTGATTTTATTATCTGAATGACAAGACAGGGTCGCAGAACAACGGCAAATTCGTCAAGATATTTACTACGTAATAATTTTCTGTTTTCTTGCTAACTAAGCTCGTTCGAAATAGAGATACTGAATACAAATGTATAAACAATCTTTACTGGAACAAACACAGTAAAAGTGCACTTTACTTGCCACAATAAACAGTCTTCTTTACTGGAGAGTTAACTTTTAAGTTGTTTCTAATCTATTTAGATAAGTTAGTATGAAAAACTCTTTTAAGGTCGTGTTTATAAATTAGGCTTACCTAGAACGACTAGCGCTACCGCGTGAGTGGTCATTCCAAATGAAACACGGGGGAGTTCATAACCTCAAGAGATCACCTATGAAAAAAATATTGTCTAACTTCATGTACTACAGGTGACCTGTTTTTATCACAGGAAGAAAAAAGTGCTCTTCTAGTTGAATGACACATAACAGTAGGTAGCTAGAGCAATGATAACTTAATGGTCTTCTTAACCAACGTGTTATGTGACAACTGCACATATTTGTATGAATAACAAATTTGAAAAATTCCTTTATTTATACAAGGAAGTATATACTCTGGAGGGTGGTTCATTGTGTGATCAATTCCAATGAGTGAGATAAGACCTTTCCATTAGCTGATCATCATCTGTATGAACTTTTAATATGGATTATTAATGAGGTTATTAATTAATAAAATATTTTGATTAGTCTAGTGTTTGAGCCAAATATCGACATGCTGTTAAGCCAGAGTGTAATATAGTAACGTGTAAATAAGTATGTCAGAGGAACAACATGTCTGGAATTATTCCATTGCCCAAGGGCCATTATTCAGTGCTTGAGTTATGACGTCACGCAATATGGCTGCACCCACTGGGAACGCTTTGTTGGCGGATGTGACATCAGAGTTAAATTTACCTACTTTCCGGGTATTTCTACTTGTGTTTACAATGAATTATCTAGACAGAGGTTGCTGTGAGGAAAAGCATTTTTACTAGATACACTTTAGTATTCTATTATTTTTTGGGCACCCCCCAGTGGCACAGCGGTATGTCTGCGGACTTACAACGCTAGAAACTGGCTTTTGATACCTGTGGTGGGCAGAGCAGAGATAGCCCATTGTGTAGCTTTGTGCTTAATTATAAACAAACAAACAAACTTTTTGGGCGATCTCGTATATGAACTTTTCTCGAAAAAAAATAGTAATTTTCTCTCTGACAATTCAGTTAGAGAAAAAACTGAGATATACACATTTATGTATGTACAAATATTTTTTATGCTGTACCTTATATCAAATACCTTTTTTTTCTTTTAATTAATATTAATCACGTAGTTTTTACTGTATAACTAAAGTTATCAGATGTCCCCGTTTTTGAAATCTTGTCTGGATGCTCAAATGTTCTTGTTTTCATTTTTGTTAGTTATCTATGAAAAAAATATATTTATATTCAGTATGCAGGGCTACTGACAACCGTGAATCAACAAACCATGAATTTGAAACTAAGATTGGAAATTTATTCACAGCTCAGAATGACTTCAGCATGTGGTATGCAGGCATATTATTTGTTTTCTGCTTGCTTTTAATTATATTTTTCATTTATCCTGCTTCTATCCAATTTTAGAATAACCACGTTGTCTAGAAATTCGTGAAGGTTGCCTTATTCTAGTTGCTTTGTTCTCTATAGTAGATAATGACTATTCTGCCCAAGGGAAATATTGCAGTAACATATAACACCTATGTTGAAATGATCAGCGATTGTAATATCCTTTACTGGCCGAATTCACAATATCTGTATGTTACAGTTGAACAATGCTGTGAGAGAACAAGGGTCACGAAGAGACGCTATCCACTGAAAAAAAGAAACTGAGTTTATCTGTATAAATGAAGGATTGAATACATAATATAAAAACGACTTTGAATATGCAAATCAGCAAGTCAGGTGAAAAACATAGCTGATATAAAGTAGCGGTAGAACGGCGTGTATATGAACTACTTTTTGACATTATTTGACATAATATAGGTAGTGTGGTGCCACAGAAAATTTACCGCTTTTGGGAAGGGTATGTGATTTTTGACACAAAATATTCCTTCGGTCAGATCATAAAGATGTGACCAGTGTGTGTTTTTCTTATATCAAAGCCACATCGGGCTATCTGCTGTGTCCACCAATGGTAATCGACTCTTGATTTTAGCGTTGTAAATCTAGAGACTTACCGCTGTCCCAGTGGGAGACAAAACATACAGTCGTTGTTTTGATTTTAGGCAAAGCCACAATAGGCTATCGTCCAGCGCGGAAAATTGAACACTGGACTTTAGCGTTGTACGTCTGCAGACTTAACACTGTCACACCGAGGGACAAGTGATGTTTTCAGATCGGGGATTCAAAATTTCCAAGAAGACATTAATGGCATTGTAAAATAAAGGAATACAAATAAACTCGGAGCATCATGGTCTTCCAGAAAGAGACGTAGAACAATTCCTACCCTAACGGTGGTAAGTAAAATGTGGCGTCTTGTAACAGGTAAGGACTCACGGACACAAAGGTCAGTGAAAAAAGCTGTCCACGTACCCCAGAAAACACTATATATGTAAAACATAATCAAAAAGGATTTCAGTCTATAAAAGTGACACGAATCACATGTACACAACTTCTGTTCACGACATACCTCAAGACTCAAGTAGCTGGACAATGAAATGGTTTTAATGCTATTACACATGAAGACATACTAGTTAATTAAATCATCAGACCTTTGAATATCTGTATGATCGGACTGATGAAACGGGTGTTGGAAAACGTCGTCTTTGTACACTAGACGGATTATGGAAAGTAAGTATGAAGTAGTGGTATACTGTTTTTGACATCACAAGTATACGACGGAACCTTTTGCAATGAAAACCACACGGCAAGGCTATTTTAATAAAACGTTTTAAGCCTCTTTATACTATTAATGATTTGTTGTAGTTGCTTTTTTATTTCTGTTTAATAGATGTATAAATGAATTTACATCCGGGTTTCGATTCCCCGCTGTGGACATGGCATATAGCCTATTGTGGCTCTGCTCTACAACAAACAAATAAACGAGACTTGATGGATGAAGGTTATGCTTGATGGTCTGAAAATGATCGTCAAAAGGTGAGTTACTAAGATACCAAGAAAGAACTTAAAAGAATATTTGTACAGGGCGTGAATAAGTCAAACTGGGATAAGCGAGATTTGTTTGTTTGTTTATAATTAAGCAAAAAGCCATACAAAGGGCTATCTGTGCTCTGCCAACCACGGGCATCGAAACCCGGTTTCTAGCGTTGTAAGTCCTCAGACATACCGCTGTGCTACTGGGGATCAATAAGCGAAATAAAGAGTGAACAAAGCTGTTTTATTTTGAAACAAAATATCCATTTTATTCAGTTCAATGTCTCAACAGATAAAAAAATAACTAAAAACTGTATATATATTTACTGGTTGGCTTCTCTGTTGAAAGAACACAGTGTAAATTCTGACCAGTTCAATCAATGAGAACAAAGGCTATTGCAATGTCACAATTTTCCAGAATCCCACGTCATCCATATTACAAGCAAGCCTAATTAAAAGAATCAAGTAAAGAGACTTTCGAACTTCTCTTTCTTCTCGGACGATTAGCATATTAAGCATCTCACTGAGATCACTAATCCGATTATCCAAAAAACAGGCCAAGTGCCATGATAAATTGATGTCATTCTGGGTATTTACTGTTCCACTGGAAGAATAAACATTTATTACAAAATGTTTACGGAACCCCGTTTATATATATATATATATTATAAAATGTATAATTTTTATCCCTCTACAGTACTCAATATAGAACTACATACGTCATAGACTGTGAGTGGATTTCAAATTATGATGTAATTTACTGGTGTAAGTTGTAAAACACGGAGAAGGCGACAATAATAAGTTTATTTAATTACATTATGAGTTTCTAATTTAAGGTGAGATTTCCTTTATAACTAATATATTGGACTTATTTCTTTAAGTTATAAACAAAACTCGGAATAAGTATATAAAACTCTGATTTTGAATTTATTATAATAATTACTAAACATTATCTTTGTATTTATGTTATAAATTTATATTAACTTGTTAATATTATGTAAATTATTAGATACAAAGATAACGTTTAGAAATATTTATAATTAAGCTAACAGTAACACTGTAGTCTTTAGCGTAAGTTTAGCACCAATATATCTATAAAGTGTAGTATAACATTAACAGCTTACAAAATTACAACAAATGGAATGTAAATGAAAATAAAAGTCACTTTTTTTATGTAATATAGACATTATTATTGTATTTTTGTAGAAAAATACGCAGTAGGAGAAGAAAAAGTTGTTGCTGTATCATCCAGATAGTGATTACCTTAGGCTGCCAGTTAGTGAAAACTCAAGTACAAGTGTTTCCAGTTGAACATGGGAGAAAATGACAGTGTGCGTAAAGATACATCTGACTGGGAAGAGTAAGTTGAAGTCCAAATAAAAAGTTAACCTGAATTGTTGTATGGAATTTGGAAGTTAAGTGCCTCTTGTAAGAAACGTATAAATAAATAAATAATATTTTTATAATTTCAAATATGTGATATATTTTGAGTGTAGCTTTATTTTATGTATACATTACACTTGTGTTTTTTAATTATACTTTATAGAGAACAAGAAATATTGAAGAAAAAACTTTACTTAAGGGACACAGAATTATGGCAGAAAATACTTATACGGTCAGATAATTATACAGACAGAAGTCAGCCAGTTACTGGTCAGCATTTGCTGATCTCGGACAAGTTTGACAACAGTAGAGAAAATACGGATAGTGAAACAGAACTTTGTCATTTATTGAAGATGGTTCATGGTACAGAAAAACACGAGCAGTCAAATGATTCACCTGTAGACCTTTCCAAGACACCCTGTTCTAGTGTATTGTCCTTTATTGGTGGACTTGATATATCTTATACAAAAGACAACAGTAATGCCTGTGTCGCTCTTGTTGTCATTTCTTACCCTGAGCTCAAGGTACATGGTCAATTTTCCTTTGAAAAATAAATCTCCAAAAATTAAATATTATGTCATAGTTTGAAACTTGTATATCTCAAGTGTATCATAGCTACAAATTGGCAATGTACTAAATGCTTAAAGCAGTCTTTATTTCTGTTCAAATCCGTGAATTATTTTTCACTTAGATTAACAAATATTAATGAACCTTCAGATATTAAATTTAAACCATTGTTCATTCCAGTTTTAATATTTTTCAGGAAAGAAGATGAGCTTGAAATAAGGTTTGAGTAATGTGAGATAAGGTCATTAGATTTACGTTGGTCACCTTTATCGTTCAAACAATGAAAAACAAACATTAATCCAACTTAATGTAACTTTGAAAACATGATGTAGTTATCCACCAAAAATGTGTAGTAATCCAGCCTTATTAACAAGTCTGCATGTAACTTGCTAAATTTGAAATGATTGTTAGTAAGGACCAAATATCAAAACATTTACTGTTTCTAAATTCCTGCCAAATTTGAGAACCAAAATTAAATAATCGTTATTTCTGTGTTGAGTAAAAAAACAACAGTTAAACTTTTCAGTTTTCCAACTAATGAGTGAGATCGACTCTTCGAAAGGGGGGGAATGGGGAGGCTTGCCTGTGGACCCCAGCAGAAAAATGACTCCTTGTACTTTAATGCCATTTATTTTGACATAATTCCCTGAAAATATTTTTAAAGATGTTGTGCAAGCAGGAAATATACATAGATCTTGGAGAATAAAGAAACATTAATTAACCCATTAAGTTGTATGAAATATGAATCTAAAAATATGAGTAACCATAAACTTCATTAACGTTTATATCACCATACATATACAAATGGTGGGTCTGAGTAAACCAGACTGTTTCCATTTCTCGTCAGAATAGAATACCCTAAGAGCAGCGGGTTTTAGAGCACATAAAAGTAATGCCGCGAGATGGCCATCAAATCTGCGAGACTCGCAGAAAATCCACGAGAATTAACATATTGGAAATAGTTGCAACTATTTAAGCCTTAGAATATTTTAAACAAGGTCCTGGTGTAAGGTGAATACCTTAATAACTTGTACAAATAAAGGTAACAAGCTTATCAGGCAGATGGCAGCACTACCTATATAGGGATGGCTCTGATTGTTCACTGAAATAGTATTTTAAATATCTCCTCAATAGGTCATCAGAACTTTACAATACTATGCATCATTACCTTTTATAACAATATCTATGTAATGAGCAAGTCAAAAATTTTGGGGATGTCTGTAAATATTGTAGTAAAAAGGTTGACTTTCTTGTTCTGCTGCTTTTTTATTACACAATAACTCAAAAATCAAAATAATGGCATCAGCCAAATTCCTTGAGATGACAGAGTTTCAAACTGAGAATCTGTTTTTATAAGTATTATTAATAACTATTAGTAACTTAAAAAAAAATCATAATTCTAGTGTAAACGATGTTATCATTACCCCCTTAAGTTATCTTTCTTACAAATATTTGGTGTTCCTATAAATAGCTGAAGTACAGGATGAATCGGGAATTACCAGCCAATAATAGATAAACAATATATGTTACACTTGGGAACTCATTGTATTTCGAACTTGATTATAAATACATCCTTCCTATAGCTGTTGAAACAATGCATTAAAAAAATACTTTATAAAAAAATTAATTAAATGTAGGGATGGCTAATATCAGTCCTTCAAAAACATTGCAAATAAAATAGTAGGGATGGCATTTGCATCATCCCTACATAATAACACAGGCAAAAATTAACATATAGCAATATATATAAATTGAGTTTAATCTATCCTATTTTTGTTTGTTAACATACTACTACACTGTGTACCTGTGCTATTATGTAGGGATGATACAAATGTAATCCCTACTATCTTGTTTAAATTGTTTTTGAAGGATTGATATTAGCCATCCCTACATTTACTTCTTTTTTTGAAAAGTTTTTTCTTTACTTATAAATATGTAAGTTGTTAACATCATTTTAGTAAATAAACTTTTTTTTTAAATGGTGCATTGTACAGAGGAAGTATTGAAACCTGTATAAAATTTGGACAATTTAAGTTTTCTTGATTTTAAAGAATTTTACTTTTAACAAACAATATTGTTATACAGAGTTTGTTTAGAAGTGTTTTAGGCACTCTAAACAACTTTCTAATGAATTAGTTTCTTTCAATAAACTGTTATCATGATTCTTATGATTTGTTTTTCTTTTATTATAAATAGAAATGCTTGATTGTTTTATTTAGAGTATTAATTTTCTTTAAAAAAATTTCTCCAAGGTACCAATTTGTTTTTTTTCTAAATAAGTCAGAATACTGATTAGCATCAGAATATCCCTTGCATCATTACACTTAAAGTTGTTTCTATAAATAAGTACTTTACTTTTGTTCAGCTAGTGTATGAAAGCTGTTTTATGATAGAAGTAACCAAGCCCTACGTTCCAGGATTCCTCGCTTTTCGAGAAGTAGAATTTTTCACGAAGGCTGTCAGTGAATTAAAGGCTAAATCCTCAAAGTTCTTTCCTCAGGTATTATATTTACTTTAACTGAAGTTTCTTCAACAGCTAGATTAAAGTTAATAAAAAGGAAGTTAATGTTTTTGTTGTGTTTTTGAATTTTTTAGAGTGATCCAGGAGTTGGCAGAAGATTCTTGATTTTTACAAAAAAATCATAATATTTTCTGTTTTGCAGTGAGTGTTAACTCAATGTATACAAGATTGTGCAGATATCCACTACAGATATCTCATTACTCATGACAAAACTCTCGGTAACTTTCATGGTCAGATAGTCCAGCGCGTGGGGTCCTTTGATGTAGGATCTCGTTTTTTTTGTTCGTCTTTAATGAGAAGTGATTCTTGTTAACACATCATACTCCATTCTGTTATCACTTAGAAGTATTTTCAAAGATGGGGGAAACAAAAAGTATTGGTTTTCATCACAATACTGTTTCTGTGGGATGAAATCGTACATAACAAAGTTACAGTTGGCTTTAATTTTTAAGTGCTTTTTTTAGAAATTCCCTTTTAACTTTCAAATTACCATCTTGTTTTATATATATATAAACACGAATGTATAAAAATATAGATGATTTTTGTATTTCTGTGTCACTTGCGTTATTAGGTATCCTGTAACCAACAAACTAATGGACACACAATTTGGTGCACAAATAGTTTAGAAAAATGTGTTTTAAAAGCTGTTGGAGTTCATATCCTTTGTGATTCTAAAGTTAACATGTAAAAAAAATGTTTGTACCTTTTTTTTGGTTGTACAGTTCATGATGTGTAAACGATCACCGTTTACAACTATTGTAAAATAGGCTGATCTGAGATTATGAATATTCACATTTTAAAAAAAAGGGTAACATAAACACAAATTGGTCACATATTACCAGGTCTTTGTTATAACGGTTTTCTTTATACTGATGTTTATTACCAGGGCTTTGTTATAACAGTTTTCTTTATACTGATGTTTATTACCATGGCTTTGTTATAACAGTTTTCTTTATAATGATGTTTATTACCATGGCTTTGTTATAACAGTTTTCTTTATAATGATGTTTATTACCATGGCTTTGTTATAACAGTTTTCTTT